GAGTAGCAGAACAGGCTTTGTAGCCTGCACACATAATGTACATCAGCACCGAGTAGCAGTACTGTAGCCTGCCACCAACATCTTCGTTTAAAAATCATGTCTTAGGCAATGGTATCCGACACATCACTATTAACCCATTAGCAGTCATCAGCCACATCATACTTTTACGCAGAAAGTTCCTACTCACTCGTCCCTGCAGCATGAACAACGAGAAATGTTTTTTTAGAACCGGCCAATTACATAACCAATTTTCGCGCTTCTTTATTACATACTTTAAAATAGTCACACTTCGGCATGATCATGCAAATGATTCTCCACAATTTTTAATTAGAGTCCATCGCATTGGAAACTTTGCAATTAATTTCTTCTTCTTAACATGGACATTTTAACTTTTGCAAAACAGACTTTAAAAAACTTGGAGGACAAAACTTTACAGCGTTAAAGCTTACAAATAAATTTGCCTAAAAGCACGAATAAAATCCCAAATGGAAAAAAGCAAAGATACAAGGGATCACTCCATTAACGCAAATGCGAAAAAATTTATTGTTCTGCTCCATATAAACGTTTTTTAAATAAGTTAGTTAGCTTTACTTGGTCGACACTTCATCAAGTCTCACCGGACACGCAAATGAGAAAAAATTTACTGTTGTACTCCATATAAACGTTATTTAAATAAGTTAGCTAATTAGTTGCATCAAGTCTGACCGGACGCCCACGAAGAGGAGTTTATCGACCATGAGATGTCTGGTGGAGGTGTGGAGGAGCAGCGCCGCGACCACCTTCACGGCGCGACGGTGTCGAGGTAACAGGAGGCTCGTGGAGGATTCTCTGCTCCAGGTCGTGGCCAACATCAGCAGGCCATGTAGGATCTTGTCTGTTGACTCAGGCTGAGAGCCAACATAATACGTTAAAGACAGTCAAGTATTATTTCGAAAATATAACTCAGTACTCACTGCAGTGAGTGATAGAGAGCGCATTTGCTCGTCGACGAAAACTTGAAGTCACGGATGGACAGACGGACGGACGGACATGACGAGCAAAAAAGTGCATTTTTTCCATAAATGAGAGAATGCGCTAAAAATCCATGCAACACACATGTTCATCAGCATAAATTTTGCATATCAATATGCATGAATTTTGGTCAGTGTAACGTTTCAGTTTTTAGGTATATTTTCAAACCATTCATCTATTTGTACAGAGCTCATGAGGGATTAAGCTTCCAAAAGTGGTTCGTTCAAATTAACTATAGATATTTAAACATCATTTTCATTGATGAATGAGCCTTGAGTTAAGTATTCGTAAATCTTGCGTATTTGAATGCATATAATTATTAGAGGATCAGAGCAACAACAATAATAATGCCAAGAATATTCATTCTGCAAATGAAACGAAAACTATTTTCAGTGCACAATTCTGGAAAATATATAAGATGAAAATATTACTTTATCACCTGGTGCTGACAAAGACCACGGCAAAAGTACTCATTTGTATTAAATATTTTGAAAATCATCCTAAATAATGATCAGCTGCAACTCAGAGAAGCGGAGCAATATTTTTAAAATAATCATTGTGCATGTCCAGATAAGTTATTATACGTCGCATTTAACGTATATATAAATAGAGTACTANGGAAAACCTTGTTGAAAATGAAGCATTGGAAGACATGTGGTTCCAGCAGGCAGGATGGGGCTACAGCTCACACAGCTTGAATGTCACTCAATGTTTCAAAACGCATGTTTCCCGTAGGTCTGGTGTCTCTGAGGGGTGATTTACAGTGGCCTGCGAGGTCACCTAATTTGAGCATTTGCGATTTCTTTCTTTGGGGACATCTAAAAGAAAAGGGTTCAGAAGTCGCCCTCACACCCTACCACAGCTAAGGGAACGGATTATTGCAGCAGAGGTTATGGCAATACCTCGCCATATGTGCTGTCTCTTATACACATCTAGATGTGTATAAGAGACAGGGACTGCAGACCATGAATGAACCTGGTCAACCACACAGGAATGCAGACCATGAATGAAGCTGGTGTAACCACACAGGAATGCAGACCATGAATGAAGCTGGTGTAACCACACAGGAATGCAGACCATGAATGAAGCTGGTATAACCACACAGGAATGCAGACCATGAATGAAGCTGGTCAACCACACAGGAATGCAGACCATGAATGAAGCTGGTCAACTAAACCCACATAAATACTGACCATATATGAAGGTATGAAGCTTATATGAACACAAGTAAATACAGACCATGAAAGAAGCAGGCATGAGGCTCTCGACGTATCCCATGACGTGCCGCTGTACGACGTAGGCCCCTGAGTGCTCCCCCACACAGAGCTGCTCCAGCGCCACCACCACGGCCTGGACGATGGACAGCACCGCGCCCTCCACGTCACCCGTGGACACGCCGCTACCCTGGGCACGGTGGTATGCTTAGCACAGCAGGTCTAGTGGGCTAACATTTGTGGAACTCGAAACTGTCGTGACGCCCCTTGCATGGTAGGCTTATGTGTGCGCGACGTCTGCCTATACAGGACCCAATATATATGTATAAGGACTCCAAAATTCGCGCCAAAAGGTTATTCTACTTTGGTGACCGTCACGTCAGTACGGTCTACAGCTATATCCGCAATATTGACACCGGACACTTACTAAGAGTTGCAGCTGTAGGGAGCGACTGAAGAAAACATTGGAGAGAGATCTGAGCCACAGCAGACAAGCTTCAGACTGCGCCAACTGGAGCGATGGCTCCGCCTCTAAGACGTTGTATCTATGGCACAAAAAAATTAAATAATCATCTAACCAACTCGATTGTTTTTGTTTTAGATATATTTGGTGAAGAACCATCAAGTGAGCTCTAGATCAGGTCTCATTAAGCAAGGATCCAACAAATGTCTCAACAATAGATTCATACATTCATCAAGTACGACAAAAAACTCGTGTAAATACAAGCTGAGCCGAATTCCTTTAGTAAATTTGTCAATATACAATAATAAAATGGTTGCACACAGTTGAAACTAATTAACTAATTGCACGAACTTATGTTCACTGAAAAAAAATCACGAAAAAATTTCATCACAAATGTCTGCACGAATATTAAGCTGATGCAAGATTAATGAATCTGCACGAATATTAAGCTGATGCAAGATTAATGAATCTGCACGAATATTACGCTGATGCAAGATTAATGAATCTGCACGAATATTACGCTGATGCAAGATTATTGAATCTGCACGAATATTACGCTGGTGCAACATTATTGAATCTGTACAAATATTATTGAATCTGCACGAATATTAAGCTAGTATATTATATTATATTATTAAATTTGCATATTATTGAATTATTATAATATTGAATCTGATTCAATAATATTTAATATTAGCGAGTCTTTAAGAATGTTAAGCTGGTGTAGTTCTCACTGAGGCATGGGGTACTGCAGGGGGTGTCCCCCAAAGTTGATGACGAGCATCTCGTGTTTGGAGAGCGACATCGCCGGGAAATACACGCAGTCCTTGCCCCTGGCGATGCTGCTGAACGCCTCGCCGAGATGCTTGCCATTCCTGACAAACATAGCTATTAGAAAATGCTAAGAAACTATTTTTGTACAGTAGTTGAAGAAGTATTTTTTTTTTTGCAAATTCCTGACAAACATTGTAGAAAATGATAAGAAACTATTCTTTACAGTAGCTGAAGAAGTTTTTTTGCAAAAAATACCAAATAACGGAATGATAAATGCGGATTTCTTGTGAAAATATTCATTTATGAATTAAATTGCAAGGAAACCTTTTTCCGAAATTCCAGAATAAAATAATCGAGAATAATCAAATTCTGCTTATGATGATCCTCTCACTAACCTCATGTAAGAAATAGTTCTCTTGTCCATGTCAATGCCACATGTTATGACGTCACCGCTCTGCCACGAGTCGCCATATTTGCGGCAGTTCACATTCCAGGATCTTTGCCGGTTGCCATCGTAAGAATACGAGTCCGCTGTATCTCCTGATATATAATTTCATTTAAATAAACTAGTTAAATGAGGCAGTTGCAAAGCTTTAATCCAAAAATTCTCCAGAGTTGGTGCCACGAAGAGTTTGATATGAGCGTGAGTTTTAATTCTTAGAGGATCATTCATAATGATCTTCTAAGGCTGAAAAAATGTTCCGTATTCATGATTTCCCAACAGGGTTGGCGATTTTATGATTTAAAAAAAAATCAAAAAAATAAAAAATCAATGATTTTTTTTATTTTTTCATGATTTTGTTTTATTTATTTTATTTTTTTTATTTTTTCAGCTTTTTTGTCTTTTTTGAGGTGTTATTTTTTATGTTGCAATTAGCCTACTAACAATAACAGTATATGGATCATAATGGATGGCTAAAAAGGGCACTTATTGCCTGTCTCTTATACACATCTAGATGTGTATAAGAGACAGCTGCATGAAGGCATTCATAAACAAATGATGGAAAACTCAATATCTGTACTGTGATGGTTGATAGAAAGTCAGAAAAAATGTGTATTTAAATATTTTTTTGGCAAATGCAANATGCAGGAGCGCTGCCAGGGCGCCAGCTCCTTCTGCCACAGCTGCCCGAGCGTCTCCAGCAACGAGTGGAAGAACGGCAGGATCGGCACTTGAAACAGCTGCAAATGACACAAAAATTTCAAACTATTCATCATCAACCCATGATGGAATGTCTCAAATGCTTTTGGAGTGAAGAAAGAATGAAGTGATAAATTCGCAGTAAAGGAATTAAGTAACAAATTATTTGAAAATAAAATGAGGTTCAGCTGAAGGCTACCTATATTATAATGCTTGATTGCATATGTTAATGAATTTACCTAGCATTTTTAGTTTATAAATATGCATGATAACTTTTGGTTATCTTAATTTAAGATAACATTTACAGATCATTGTACGGTATAAATATAATTATGTATGTTAAGTGTTATCTCAATATGCTTAACCGGCAAACCGTCCCACATTCCTTTGTTTGTTTCCCCATTTTTGTATTTCAATTAAACCGGTTCAGGAAAATCCTTATTCCTAAACAACTTTAAAAAAAAAACTTTAGCCAAACTCACAGTAAAAATCTACTAATTGACTAGTTGTGTCCAACTCTAGATTTACACAAACAAAATGGGATAGACAGGAATTAGAGGATGGAGTGAGAGAAGTCGATGAGAAATACATAATCCTATAAAGGATAATCATGTTTTGAGTCCAGCTACATGAACAGCTGCTGAGCTGATCAAACAGAATATTAAAAACACAGAAATGACATCGAAGTTAAGTATTATGTACACAAGCAGGCTCAGTATTACATACACAAGCAGGCTCAGTATTACATACACAAGCAGGCTCAGTATTACATACACAAGCAGGC